GCGCAGAGTAAATGCTGCATAACAAATGCAGGGATAATTGCTCCAGCATGACCACTAACCGACATGTTAACCCTTCACTGGCAAGACAGTCCTACGTGATCTGACTTCACGGTTCACTATCGTCGACTCCAGCCTTTCGCATGCGCAGAAAATGATGCCCCTGTCACACGGGCTCCCGCGAACACCGTTTAGCTCCTTCGTCCTTACGACAAGGGAGATGTGGTCCGTGTCACACGGCAACCCTCGCGCAAACGAAGGTAAACGAAGCATTTCGTAAAGGACGTTCGACGATCTCCCTTTGCAGCGGAACGAGGTACGCTCGTTCCCAGTATCGTTAGGTCAGAAAAAAAATTTCGAGCACTAAATTGCCACAGTGACAACAATGAATATATTTTGGCAACATTAAACGTTCTTTTTTTGCAGTATTCATTCATAACGTGTGCTTCTTTGGCGCGGTGTGAAGAACATTGTCCATGTGTGCGGATCTTGTCGTCGCCGTGTTTGCGTGTGCCCGGGAGAGGAATGACTGACAGCGCTTCGACGACTGCAGGAATGAGTAATGGGACCAGGCCTAATTTAAGGGTGACTTGGGATGCGCTTACGAGGGAAAAGAACAAGAACTTTACTTGGTACATGGGCTACAAAACCAACTAGTCGCTAAGCACAGCGCAATTGTAAACAAACGTAGTGTTAGGCACACGGTGGCAAGCATCGCTGCCAGCATTGCTACAATTAGCGAATGTGTTTCCATTTGAAATAATTTTTAATACTTCGTTGCTTTCAGACGTACCTAATATTGTGTTTTCATAAAAACCTAAAATCGAAGATTCACAAAAAAACACCTAGAGATGAAACTGGGATACTCCTGTGAAACTCAAACAGTGCCGGCTGAGCCCTCTCGCGGCAACTATTGCAACCTTGTCATTGCCGTATGACACTGATACAACTCCATCTCCGTCGAACTACCTAGCATAGCTTTACGTTGACGGAGTTTAACAGAGCTTGGTGGTGACCGTGTGACAGGCGTATGAGACGCATACAGTAAATGAGATGCTTTCTCTACAATGGCAGCGTGCAGCTTATGCGGGGTGGGAGACGCGCGCGTGGAATTAGTTTTTATAGTCGAGATCTTGGTCCAATTTTCGCTGCTTCTCGCTACCATTCAGTTTTCGGCACTGATATGGTAGATAGCTAGGCAGTCGCACTTCGATAACTCAATTGCACAACACTTGTAGACCACAGTGAGCTATGCAGGAGTAATGTAGAGCCGGAAGTTATTGTTAGCGAGGAAGGAGCATGAGTAATCGCCTTCCCTTGGTTAGTCGCCAAACGCGGGCGGCCAGCGCAAGTCAATCTTGGTTGAGCCCTACTTCGCACATGTCATATGTGTACGCTAGAGATACAAGAATTAAGTATTCCATAGGGAAATTTTGAACTAACGGCAGATTCAACTGCACTTGTTCGTGGCCGTATAGGAACGCTAAATTGCGTTCGTGTTCAGCCGAGGTTGAATGGAGCGTCGACGGATGGTTTGGTGAATGTAGTGCTGGCAGGGTCATTGTAGAAGTACACGTGATGTGCTCAGAAGAAACCGTCAGTCATGTTTCTGTATTACCACCAAACAATGTGCTCTTTGGATCCTCGAAAATGTGCTGTTCTTTCCTCTTTCGCAACGCGTTTTGCACACCGGTTCTATTAGTCGAGAAGTTTGCCTACTCATGTTGGAAATCGTGATAGCCTCTCACGATCACCAGTAATCTTACTAACAATAATGATTTATTCACATCCCAGCGAGCATCGAAAAGACATAGCAACATCGAGAAAGGAATACTTTATGGGTCCTTCATGGATGCGCGCCAGTGCTGTGTGCACAAGCTTAATATGAATTTGCAAACATATGAGCAACATGCTTAAGTCCGTGCATGGTTGCATCCGATCGTGAATCATCGCGTTCTACTTTGTTTTAGTTAGCAGCATTTAGTTTTGCTTCAGTTAACATTTTGCTTCGTCATATGCTTTGATGGTTTGTTAAACGTCAGCGTTTTTACGGTGTTGTGCCCTTTTCTTTTGTTTGATCTGTTTAACAGCCTTTTAATTTTTCGAAAAAGAGTATAAAAATTCAGAGCACTAGGTAATCTACTATGAGAGAAAAAAAAGCTCTCCCACTATATACCATAGAGAGGTATTATGACTCATGTGATACTAAGATGTCGTCGACACCCATTTTGTTGTTTCTAGATAATTTGTGTTTAGAAAAAGTAGTTAACAATTTTGAGTACTCGCTACGCTACTATGGGAGAGTACATCATATGTGATGAGGCCGCATCGACAAATTGAGCCTCAATTCTTTTGTTCACACTATTTCTCTCACACTATGGCATTGTAGCTTCGCCGCTTATATGATGTGTTGTAGCCTTATATTTTGTCAAGGGTAAGAAGCTTTTATCTAGTTCTCGTTACTTTTTATTGTGTCATATGCTTTCATTGCTGGCTGGCAGATTGTCTGCGCTTTTATGGAGTCACGATCTTTTATTTTCCAGAACCATATGCGTGCCATGTACGCGTTGTAGACGCGTTATCGGGCACAGATATTTCACGCCTGCGTTTCGAATAGGAACTACGATGAAACTAGGCTTGACGACAGCAACCAAACATTGTGCGACCCTAATCTGCTTCGCCCCTAATAAGCATTAAGAGCAAACCTCATAAGCGCGAAAATGCACGCGACAGCGACGAGTGATGCTATGAGCGACGAAACAGGGCGTTCGCGCGACGTGTCGCGTGCTCGTTTTCGCGCGATCGCTCGGTTCTCCAGATTTGGAAACCGTCGCTCATCGCCCGGAAGTGCTGGGCTCAAGCAGCCAATAGCGAAAAACCGGAAAAGACAAGGACTACACAAGGACAAGGTTCACGTGACCCTGCCCGAGTCACGTATGCGCAACAAGAAATAACGCAATGTTTACGCATGTGCATATAAAAAAAGTGCTGCAAAGGTATTCATAAACACTTTCCGTTCCATTACACAAAAATATATCTTATTTTTTTAATTACATACCGCTCACTACGCTGTTTTCTTGGTGCGAGTAGACGGCCTCATGCCAGCAACAGTGAAGTTCGCTCGCCGAAGCCGTCGCGTGAATGAGGTTTGCCTGCGCTAGCGACTGATCGCGCGAAGACAATCTACGTCGCATCGCTCGTCGCTGTCGCGTGCATTTTCGCGCTTATGAGGTTTTGCCTTTAAGTGTCAGCTAGGTCTTGCCTTCTAGCGGCTACCTCGGCCCGCTGAATTGCCCATAGCTGTTCGCAGGGCTGAACTGAGCAGCACGGCCAGCAAACGCACGCGGAGGCTGTCGGTGGAGGCCACGTTATCCTTACTGTGTTTCAATCCATGGCATTCTCATAGTATATGTTCTAAGGAAGCTAGTGCCTGACAATCTTTGCATTGAGCGGCCGCGTAGATCTCTGGACACATAGCATGTAGTAGTGCAGGATTCCTATAGGATCTGGTTTGTAATTGTCGCCATTGGACAGACTGTACCCTGTTAAGTTTATCTGGTGAGGAGGGAGGTAAACACGCCTCTGTAATTTATGTTTGGTAATTTCATTTAATGTTGTCATTCGGTCGTCCCACTCCTACACATTTGGATATTATGACAAGGAATCAACATTTGTCGTAGCCAGAAAAGTGAGTCCTCGAGCTACGTTGTGTGCCACCTCGTTAGGGTTGATATCTCCCGTGGTGTCGGGTGTGTGAGCTGGGAACCAGAGAATGCAAACGCATCTGTCGTCTTGGTTGGTTTTACCTGTTCTAAAATCAAGCAGTGCTTCAGGGGAGATTCTGTTATTTGCAAAGTTGTGTAGAGCTGCTTGTGAATTGCTGATTATACAACACGCGCCAGTTTGTGATATGGCCAAAGCTATAGCTATCTCTTCCGCCGTTTCAACGCGTCTCGTGAGTAGTGTCAGTCAGGTGCTGCATTGTTTCTTGTGGTTAACTACTGCCGTGGTGAAGCAGCTTTTGTGTTTGTAACGAGCGTCATCTACGAAGTCTTCTTCTTCGTTGTTTTCAAAGCTCTTTGTCATCGTCTTGGCTCTGCTCAGCCTCCTACCTGCGTTGTGCATGGGGTGCATGTTTTTAGGTAACGGGCGCACTGGAAGCTTAGCCCATACGTCACGAGGAATGTCGCATTTGGTGCCGTATTGTGTGTAGAAAGTGATGCATAATATTTCCAGGCTGTATCTACCAGTCTTGGTTTTAGAGGCGCGCTCGGACTGTGTAATACGTTGCGCCTCTATCAGTTCCTCAAGTATATTATGTAAACCTAGCTCTAACAGCCTCTATGTACTTACGCTTTGCATGAGCCCCAGCGCTTGTTTGTAGATTTTTCTTATGAGGCTGTTTAAATTCATTTTTTTTCTACCGTGAACCACCTATGATAGGCAGAAACATACTTAATGTGGCTGATGACAAACGCGTGGATGAGCCTTATGACATTTGCCTCTTTCACGTCGCTATGCTTATTCGTAATTCTTTTGTTTAGGCGCACGTTTGAGAGACTTTCGCTACGATATTGCCTATCGTTTCCCCGTTGGTGCCTTTGGCTTGCAATATTAACCCTAGTGCTCTTATCTTGTCGATAATGGGCTATGGTGTGTCCATCTCGTGTTTTAAGTTCCAAGTCTGTGTAGGTATGTGGGTTATGGTGCTTCAGAGGTCTGTTTTTTATGTTGGTCTATACAGTAGCAGCTCAGATTTTCCGGCGGAGCACGGGAGACCAGTGCATTCAGATGCGTGTGAAAGATAAACAAGTACTGTAAACATTTGAGAGAAACCTGAAAGAGAACAATGAAGTTGTACTAAAGCGCTCACACGTCGAAATAAAATGCCATTAAAAAGCATTTAAATACTTATATTCCTCCACATCATCACTTTCTAAACATTTCACCCATACAGCTGACTTTTACGACGGTTCTTGATTTTTTAGGCACAATTGGCTTCGTCCACCGAGAGTGCCTGGAGAGCTGGATTCAGCGCACGGTGGACCCCCAGTGCCAGGTCTGCCACTTCCATTTCACAGTCCGAAAGCAGGCGCAGGTAAGTTAAGTTTATTTATTGTGTGTGCGTGTGTGTGTGTGTGTGTGCGTGCGTGCGTGTGTGTGTGTGTGTGTGTGTGAGAGAGAGAGAGAGAGAGAGAGAGAGGGAAACATTGCGAGATATTTCGTGCAGCAGTTGTCTTACGCCATTTTCGAGAAATCAAAATTATACCCACCGGGATGCTGACTCGAGAATCTATGATCCCACGTACCTCGGGAATTGATGTTATGCAAGGCACAAAGATGGAATGTGACTGGGTTGTAATTTTCTAATTCGGAGCATTTCTTAGTGACATAATGTTACGTGCCGTGCGTCGGTGGTGATGTAAACACCCCCACTGCGCATGCTCGAGTCTCGAGTATCGTGCCGCATGCTTGCGTCTCCTGCCAACTGTTTTCGCATTCCCCTCGCCCCTCTCTCTTCTCGCAAGGCGGACGCAGGCAGCGTCTGCTAGTAAAAACGGACTGCTCGATCGGCACAACCGTTCACTGGCCAACTCGTATATGTAGGCACTGGATCCCGCATCAGCGTCCCCCCACTCGTTGAAGGCAACGCTTCTTCTTCTTCCAAAAATAAACAATAATAAAGACGAAATCACAATTAAACATACCCAAACAATTCGTAATTACGCTACATTCCCGTGATGTCCCCTCGTCCTTTGCGACGCATTTAGTTGAGTTCTCCCGATAAGAAGATACGGGTGGCATTTTTTTAACCGCTAGGATAAGCGTTCTCGCGCTGCAGTCACACTGGAAAAGACGACTGCAAACCCTTTCACTGTTTACAAACACACATCCTTGATGACATCCGATTCCGTCCACAAATGTGCCTAAGGAGCGTCGGTGGACCAGATCAGCTTGAGAAAAATAGCGCGCTCATTTTCTATACTTTTGTTCCCTTATTTGGCGAAGTATATTCACCTAGATACTATTTTAAGCTGCATAAAACTTATAATAAATTACCTTTACCTTAACGCGCAATCCTTTATGTGAAAAACTAATGGGAGACTTTCCTTGAAAAAATTGGCAGCATATCCACGGAGTGAATGATTGAGAGTGGGGTGAAGCATTCGTCCATTCATTCGTTCTTGTTTCCGTCCGTCCATGAGTCCGTCTGTGTGACCGTCCATGCGTCCATCCGCCTGTCCGTGCGTGCGTCTGTTCATGCGTCCGTTCCTGCGTTCGTCCATGCATCCACCCCTGTATCCGTTCATGCGTCCATCCGTGCATCTGTCTGTGTGTCCGTTCGTCCATCTATTAAACACTCTAAGTACCACCATATCGCATCTTTTCATCATATATTCCTCATATAGAAGCACCGCCATCCAACGGACACTTTAAAGACTAAACGAGAGGTGGCACACGCGCACTTCCTTGCGGCTTGCGCTTCAGGTCTACCTCCCACCTTTAACCACTTCGAGTTCATGGTGTATACAAGTTCATTGTATTCATAGCACTGCGGCTCAATGCTCGCTAAACCTTTCTAAAGCTAAGGAGGTTACACGCAAGGAGTATAACGTAGCAACCCTTTCTTGTCAGATAGTGCTCAATGTACATGCCAATGGCTGCTAATGGAGATCGCAGCGTGCGCGTTAACTAAAAGCCGAACGCTCCTGTCTCTCACTCCCTATTAGCCACCATTGGCATGTACATTGAGCACTATTTTTTATTGTTCAACAACGCACCGAAGAAATCTCTCACTGGCACCACCTTAGAGGTCAAAATGTTATACTTGTTACACACTACAGCAGCTATGAGGGACGAACGGGTGCCGCTATAAGAAGCTTCGCGCCTAAAAAATTCGAAAACGTGCTTTCAGTTTCGACGTTAGGAGCTGCAGAGATGAGGGGACGGGAAGTTTTCGAGGCTACAACGCTTCTGACCCTGGCTGCATCGATGTACATACACAGCACGTTCTATCAAAGAATTCCGACGGTGCCAAGCAGAATATTCACGGTTTCTTGGGTCTTTTGGTACAGCCGTAAATGTGGAGCTTGGTACTTTCACTTTACAATCTTATTCTTAACACGGCCTTCCACAGTATTTTTCTTCTAGCTTCTCAAGTAACAGAACATAATGTGACGAAAACGCACGATTTTGGCCGCTGACTATTCGGTACGTAGCACTTGTGAAAATTGACATGAAGCTTGAGCAGTTGTTACAGGTAAGCTTGCACGGGTAGTACCTTTGAGGTTCTGCCTAGCGCGAAACGCCACTTGAAATGTTTAAGGACATTTTAAACATCTTTTTTAGCAAGTCGTGGCGTATACGTTTCGTGGACGTGCATACGAGGGGCAGCCCGCCGTCAATTAAGGAACGGGGAGTCATTCCCACTCATTGACCTTATAGGCCCAGGGAGCACTGCGAGGAATCTTTCTCTCCCTTCTCGCCGAAGAGGGACCCTGAGTACGCTTATGCGCAACGACATCAATTGTGCATGCCATACTCTATGTGAAGCCTGGCGTTCCTGAGCACTCAACCTGATTGCGTAAATCAGATAGTGACCAGATGAGCACGCCGTCTTGTTCGCATTTCTTTCCATCCCCCCTATACACAGCAAAGCCACATTTTCTTGAAATGTACGCAGAAATAAATTCGAAAATGTCAAGGCATACCAAATACTTAAGAAAGATATATGTAGAAAAACGGAAGAATGGATATGAGGAATGTTATTCCATTTATCATTGAAGCGCTTTGTAGGTGTAGGTACGAAGGCATAAGGTTTAAATAAAATTTTGAAATATCACGACCGTGCATGCTTGCAGCCAATATGGTGCCTGCTTTCGGATGCCGAGTACCGCTGTCCAGTGTTCGGATACCTGGCCTTGGGCGCACTGTTTGTGCTGGGCATCGCATTCGTTTTCCCTCTGGCCTGGTTGTATGCGGTCTGCTTGCCTACCCGCGTCGGAGACACACTGGCCGCCACCGTGGTCGTAGTTCTGGCGGTGCAGAACATCTTGTGGCTGTACTTCCCTTTCGTCAGCTTTAGGTAAGTCACAGGTTTGAGTGGTCTCCACGTTGTGTAAAAGGCGTACCTCCTCTGTGCAGTCGATGCCCTCCGCTGCACTGCGATTGTATTCATTGGGATGATTTAGAACGGTTATGTCACGTTAATAATGAAACCATAAGTGAAGCTCATTTATGGAGCAGTGCACATTTTTAACTTTACCGCAAATATATTTTGCTAATTCATTCAAAATATTGTAGGGTTAGGAACCTCATAAATCATAGCATATCAACGAAGTGGATCATGATGAGTGGGATGAAGCTTCGGAGGGTTTTATTGGTAAACGTGGGTCTTCCATCCATTCATACATCCGTCCGTCTGACTGTTTATCTACATTTCACGTCCACTGATTTGTTGCGCAGGCCGGCACGATTTGAAGGCGGTTGTGTGAGTGATAACCAAAAAGTAAAACGGTGCGAAGGCCAAGAATTCTCTTTAGAGGAAAGTGAAGTATCAGACGTGCTTCCAACACTTGGTTTCGTGTTTCCCAATCTTTGGACACTCAACCGAGAAAGGCACTTTCGCATTATTTTTATTTTCTTTCGCTGGAAGTTGGAGGAAGAAAGGGCATTGCGCCGAGCTAGTTATTACGACGAATTGAACGTTCCAAAACTGCATTTTTGATATCGTCCATGAAGACAACGACTGACGAAATATACACTTTATCTTAATGAAGAGAAAACTTTAAATATAGGAAAAGTTGGCGAATTGGCCGTAATGACGACTGTTGTAGCACATAGCAGGCAACGAGGTAGCCAACAACGCTATATATATATTTTCATTGTTCCAGAAGGAACAAATAAAACTATGGGACGGTGGGCTAGTCGGTGCTCGCACGATAACCTTCAAAATGTTCTCGGCTCTACTTCGCTTAATAACGTAACATTTTGGGGCGTGATGGTGTATATGTCGTAATGAAGTTCTCTCTTTCCGCGTACAGAGTTAGCAGAGATACGTACGAATAAATTTGCAGATTGCGTGTAGTTGTGATGGTCAAAAAGCAATGTTGCCTGTGCACGTGGTTGCCTGTTCTAGAAATAAGCATTGTTACAAGTAAGGGCTTGTGTGGATAAAGTCTTCCTCTAGCCGTACTTCTTTCGTGCACTTTACACTTCAATATTTTACTGCCTCACTTTCCTCCGTACACCCTAAGACTAAAGTGTCTTTTCCTGCGTACTCTGTCTCCGTGTACTTTTTGCATGTCTACTTGCAACTCCAGAAAACGCTTCATGTGCTGGCAACATCAATCGAAAAAACAAAGGTGGCTACGCTGACCGGAGTCAACGTGGCACTTTTGCTCGGCGCTGTGCCGAAGTTTGTTGATTGTGGCGTCGGATCGCGTTGCTTCGTCGAAGGCGAAATGGCGCTGACCGTGGAACACACCATTCTAAGCGGCATACAGGATCGCACTGGCGAAACAACGGAAATAGTTGCGCTGTGCGCGCGAAAATCGAGCCTCTTCGGCGAACCGCATCAGAGTTACCTCAAGTTGAAGAACCTGTCTAGCGAGGCCGCGGTTGAAGAAGGCAAATGTTCATGCGTAGCGGGCCTCTCCGAAAGGTGCCAGTACTTTTGCCCGGTGTTGCTACACTGCTACAGGCAAGGTCTTGACAGCTTTTGAGGTAACTACGCTGCGGCTCGCACTGCGGATTGCATGTATCCCAATCAGTTCTGTTGTCCGGTCAATAGCTCAATACCCATGCTGCTCACATCATTACAGAATGGAGCTATACCTGGGCCAGCGTATCTTGCGATAAGGCAAATCGTATAGTTTTCGTTGTAACAGGTGTGCTTCGTTCCTTTCGTTCGCCAATCCATGTTATTATTTAGATTTTTAATAAATAAGTTAATGTGGTTGGTAATATTAACTTGTTTGGGGAGGCAACATGCACGAACATACATACACGCACGCGCGACCATCGTGTGCGTGTTTGTATGCGTGTATATATACACCCCTGCGAAATAAAAAAATGACCGCAGCTTAATTTCAGAATGGGCAGCACTACGGATTGCGCACAAGATGAGCATATGCGAAAAATACACTCGCACACAGAACGAAACAAGTATTCTAAGCGGGTACTTATATAAATATACAAACAAACTATGATCCGTGCTAAGAGAAGCCCGAACATCTGTAAAAAAGCACACTCACTACGTAATGATGTACTCACCTAGAACAATTAAGTCCTGAGCGAATTGGGTAGAAAAAACTACCGTAGTGTCCGTCACCTGCTTTCCAAAGCGTTAGTTCCTGATTTGCCACCGTTTTCTGTTGTGCGTCGTATGCAACTTTCGGGTAAGGTCCCTAGATGAAACAATTGTCCAAGGTAGCGACACCCTCCCTTTTCCTCCTCGCTTATTTGCCTGAAGCGCCCCCTAGAAGGTTTAAAACTTTCATCCGAAAGCGAATGTTTGGGTTCTGTTGCTACGGTGAGTAGATGTAAATGAAACAAAATGGAACGAAATAAGACGTAGAATAAACAGTTACCTTTATGAACATAAATGGCACAACACAAGAGCAAGCGGGATGTGCCTTACTCAACCGGCAACGTTGGGCAGTTCTATACTTTACACCACTAGCCATGGCGTCTCGCGTAATACATTTTAGTTCCACGGCCGCGGTATTTCGTCCAGTTCTAACTAGTCCACTTCTCCGATTGTGTTTTGTTCGTGCTGTGACACAGAAAACGTGCTTCTTGCTGGATCCTGTAAGTGGCCACAGGGCGTGACGTTGTGACGATTGATTACAACCGGCTTGTGCACACGCAAGAAAAAAACTACGACCAGACTGGTACGAACACTCGTCCAGCAGCACTGCGATGACGTTTTTTTTTTAAAGTGCCCATTTGGACAATCGTGATGCCAAGTGATTCTGATGCGGTGCTGGGAACTTCCTGAAAAGTGAGAGTTCTACTGGTGAGGTGTCTCGAAGCAGCGCGTTTCGGCTCAAGCGGGAACTGGCCAAGAGTGAAATGTTTCTGAAGGTGCGTTGATTACAACCTACAGCTGTTCTGTATACGTGCATACCCACATGTATTTGTACCAACTGGCATGCACTAGCCACGCATTAGACGCGCGCCAGGTGTTTCAATAAAAACCGACAAGTGAACTCGCTCCGCAGATCCGCGTCGACATACGTTGACGGAGTTGCACGAAAGCATTCGCGTGAAATGGTTCATAGTTGCACTTCATGGTGCGCTTCATCTCGGAAAGCACGAGGTAAGTTGAAGAGAGCGAAACCATTTTCTGTTGTTTACGGCAACGCAGCATTGCTGAAAAACGCAGATGTTGCATTGAACGAGCATGGCGAAACTGATGCTGATGCTGATGCTGATGACTTCTGATGGATGGCGCTTACCCACAAAGGGGGATGGGCCAAGAACCGGGCGGCAGGATACTTAATTGAAACTAAACTGAAAATGAAGCCAATCTGAAAAAGTAGCTTAAAATAATACTACCAAAAAACAAAAATGTGTGCTGAGCAAGCGGTCAAACCATCTTTTGTTTTTGAAAGACATAACTACGAATTATAAACTAAAGATCTGAAAAGGTAGTGGTTCACTAGCATGGTAATCTTTTAGTTGCGTTGATGTAATCAAACACAGCGGAGCATACATCCCTGTGGCAGTAACCAAATGAAGTTCCGCCAAGTGATAAAAGCTTTGCGCAGAGGCGGTGTCGTACCCAATGAAGTGATGGCGAAACAATCTTGGTCGACTTAGCGCACACCGAAACGCTCCTCCTCTTCAGTTTATGTTCTGGCTACGATTTTGTCTTTGGTCACGGCGAGAATCCGGCTGGAGCCATATGCGCATGCGTACTCGTTTTGAACATTTTGCATAATAATAAATAACACCACCAGCTATTTGAAAGATCACGTGCAAGTAATGCACCAATTACAGACGCGGATGGCAGAGAAAAAAGAAGAGTAATCGAGAGAGGGAGGAGGACGGCTCGAGAACAATGAGTGACGCTACCTTGTTTCATCTAGGGACCTTACTTTCGGGAAGTGATAGAACGATACATTGCCATATTTTCATCGTGATCCCACGCAATGCATAGCGTCGCACTGTGTGGCATGCCGAAAATAATGGAACCATGCGGCCGCTTCGCAACGCGTGCCACGTGGTAACATTGTTCCTTTCAAGGTTGACCCTGTTAGCGCCATTTACAGACACGGCCACCAGGTGGCGAGTGCTTAGTTGGAGTCGCGAATATAAGTCAGACCTTACTCTGCCTGCAGCTTAACGTTAAGTCGTGTACCCTATTTTCTCCGCCATACTAATGTCCGGACATGTGCTTGGTGCAGGTCCTCGTACAAAGCGTACAAGAAGTGGCACGAAGAGAGCACTCGCCTGAAGCTCGTGCTCAGCAGCACCGAGACCAGCGGGCCCGTGTGGTCGAACCGTTGTTTCTGGCGCACTGGCGGTGGTTCCCAGGACCATGTATTGACTTAGGGGGATGCACAATATTAATAAATACGCTCCTTGAGGATACGCAAAGTGGTTCAGTAGTTCACCGAACAAAAATCTCGGTAAGCGTTGTGCGAATACAGTGTGACAATATGAAAAAAAAAACATACTCCTCTACAAACGAGTTCCTCCATTTTCTGTTAGTGACTTCAAAACTTTTCGAAAAGTGATTGATATGCGGAGCCTAACGCCCCAAAGCCACCATATGATGATGAGAGACGCCGCAGTGGAAGGTTCCGGAAATTTCGACCACCTGGGTTTTTTTAACGTGTGCCCAATTCTGAGCACACGGGCATTTTCTCCTTCATCGAAAATGCAGCCGCTACAGCCGGTATACGATCCCGTGACCTGCGGGTCAGCCGCCGAGTATAGCGACTAGACCACTGCAGCGGGTATTGTTTCTTTTTTTTTAGTGTCCCTATAACATATTTATTTACAAGCACACTGCGTTTTCCCCAAATAATACACTCTACGGTCAGTGCAAAGTTGTTGCTTTTTCGAGACATAGACAGTCACCGCGCAGCGTCATCTTTCAGTATTCGCGTCTCGTGGTCCATAACTTCAACTTAAGACAGCCACACAGTGTTCTCAGTAAGCCCCCACTGAGCACTATGCGCTCACGTCGGCTCTCAACAGCGTGAACGTTACAGAAGCTGGGATGCTGACGAAGCCACGAGCCATCGCACCTCGTAGCACCGGCAAACAGTCAACGTCATTTTGAACATCCTTTACATTGCCAGAGTTTGGTGCAGCTGACACAAAACAATTACTGCCGCATGTGTCCGTTATCCTTTCAGACACCGAGCCTCCAACAAAGAGGAAGAGAAGTTAGCTAAGAACCACATACTTAATCTTACCTGGTGCCACCAATTTGAATACCTAGCCTAAAGTAATTGTACCAGAATCATAGTTTCTGTCACTATCGCCGTGGTGTTTTGCCGATGGATGTAGTTCACAGCAGAAAATGAAGGATTCTGTCTCGTATCAACCGAAAAACTGTCACCTGAGCATACAATTCTTCGTTGCGGCAGACTGTACAGTCACTGAGCTGGAGGTGATGCAAAACTAAGGTACCATCGTGTCACCACATATATACTACGAGATTCATCACTGCTAGGGTAGGGTGTACCGCTGGTTGCCACTCCCTCTTATCCCATGCCTCAGTCGGACCTTTCGCCATCATTTTAACATGAAAGTGGTGTGTGACAGGGTCCATCAAGACATTGGTCACGTATTCCTATCACGGAAATGACGTCGAAAGAAATGCGCTCGAGCAGTCCTGTTCCACAACTCCAACATGCTGCGAGCAAGTTCTGCGAAGTTCAGCGTCCAATAAATCATGTTCTTTTAGCTGTGGCATCGCTTTGTTTGGTTTCGCTCTCAACATCAGCTACAACACCCAGCACAAGCATGCATGACCACAAGAATTTGTTTAATGGTTGGTGATAGTCATAGTCATCTGGATAGAGATGTACCAGCAAGCGTGAATGAACGTGCATCCACGTTAAATCACCAATAAACATTGCGCAGGCTCTCTTATAGGAAACGTACAGTAAACATTGCACTACTTCCATAAAGACACGTTTTACTGTCGTGTTTTACTGACTCCCGTGACGGAGGGATCAATCATGTTATTTTTTTATTGCGAAGGGCTACGCATGTTTATGAATAACGGTGACCAAAGAACGTGATATGTCGCATTCAAATAACGATATAATTGCCATTTTTACTAGGGAAACCAGTGAACACAAGACAGACCTTCGACCAAAGAACGTCATTGATTCATTTATATTTCCATATCTAATGCAGATGTCGATTTTTTTTACTCGATCACAAAGTAAGCACATTTTTCATCCATGCATGGACCAATGTGGTGGGGTTGTTGGTTATGTAGCAAAACCTGGCTCCCAAAGGGAGGACCATCGCACACCTATGGTGAGTACCTGATGCCAAGTTTCCTCTACTCTACTTTTATCCATGCGTAGTCCTACTAAACGCCCCTAGGAGATTGCCGTCACTGACTCAATTCCGGCATGGCGCATGCCACAATGTGCATCCGAGGGGGCGTGCCGCAGATGTCATCGGCGACACTATTTGAAGCCGTCTGTAGCCCCGATGCTTGCCCGGGAAAATGTAGTTTAGCTATCCAGTAATTACTAACAAGTACGCCCATAAGTTTACTTTCAAGATTTTTTTCCACTGCTAGCCCATGAATGAACACAGCCATACGTCTCGAAAACATCCTCCAAACCTCTTCTCTTTTTTTGTGATCTTCCGTATTTCCTAAAGTTCCTTGGTGCGTCTAAACCAGCTTTCGTGCGGACGGTATACCTGCCCTTAAAGTCCCTGACGCCGCTCCAGCCTAAGTCAAGGTTTATATTTTAGATGCGGAGCATCTAATACTCGAGGCTTGTAGTGCGGCGCCGTCCGCAAGCTTCCTCCTCCTTCTTCCACCATCTGTGCATCCCTTCCTCCTCTACACACCGCGCGCGCTTCACTCCTCCACCATCTGTGCACCCTTCCTCCTCTACACACCGCGTGCGCTTCTCCTCTTCACGAACATTCGCTAGCTGTATAATGTAGCGCGCATGCGCCGTCACGCTTCGAGAACATCGGCAGCTGACGCGCGCGCATGCGCCGTTGCGCTTCTCCCCCTTCTCGAACATTCGACAGCTGACAGTGCATGCGTCGTCGCGCTGTATATATACTCAAGGTCGGTGCTCGCTCGCTCAGTTGCCGCTCGTCGGTTGGTTTGTACGGCGCGTCGACGTCTGAGGTTGCAATGATCGACGTCCCTTCGACCAGCGCCGGCCAAAGTGTTGGCGGAACCGCAACCAAGTCATCGTCCGAAGACAAGGCAGCGCGGAGAAGAGCTCGCGACGCCGAACGTAAACGTCGGCGTCGAGCGGAAGATGCTCAACTTAGAGAACGTGAAGCCGCTGAGAGACGTCAGCGTCGAGCAGCAGCACCGGATTCGGCCGGTTTGAAACGTAAGCGTCGACAAGAGGACCCGGACTTTCGAAAACGGGAAGCCGAGTGCAAGCGTCGGCGACGAGAGGCCGATCCCGATACTGCCCGCGAGCGCAAGCGCGCCGAGGTAGCGGCGTGGCGCGTCAAGCAGTATGCCACGCCCAATTAACACCCCGTTAACCAATTATATGCTCCGCATCCTCCTCAGTGTTCCCCCGAGGGAAGCTGCGGGCAATTTTTTTAGATGCGGAGCATCTTATACTCGCGCCTTGTAGTGCGCCGTCCGCGTCGTCCGCGCCGTCCACACCGCTTCTCGAACATTCGACAGCTGACGCGCGCGCATGCGCCATCGCGCCGTCGCCCACTCTTCCACCATCTGTGCATCCCTTCCTCCTCTACACACCGCGCACGCTTCACTCCTCCACCATCTGTGCACCCTTCCTCCTCTACACACCGCGTTCGACATCTACAATTCTCCTGATTCTCCAGTGGACGCGCATGTGGCGTCGCGCTTCGAGAACATTCAACAGCTGACAGTGCATGCGCCGTCGTGCTGTATATATACTCAAGGTCGGCGCTCGCTCGCTCAGTTGCCGCTCGTCGGTTGGTTTGTACGGCGCGTCGACGTTCAAGGTCGCGGTGAAATGAATTCCAACGAATCCACAAACACAATGATCGACGTCCCTTCGACCAGCGCCGCCCTTTCGCATACGTGTGTACGTGTTCACTCATTTAACACCCCCTCCTACAACCACGTTAACCGATTTAGCCATCGACCCAAGTAAGTCGCAATTTAACACCCCATTTCACAACCACGTTAACCAATTTAGCCATCGACCCAAGTAAGTCGCACTTTAACACCCCGTTAACCAATTATATGGTCCGCATCCTCCTCAGTGTTCCCCCGAGGGAAGCTGCGGCCAATTTTTTTTTGCCTATCCTTCTCTAAAAGCAAATTGAAGAAAAAGGAACGCTGCTGCTGCTTTCGCCACGTGATATTTCATTCCCGGTTGTTCCGTGTTGTGCGTCCATTAGCTCTCCTTCTCTTGACCACCGTGTGTTTTTTTTTACCTGCTTAGTGTAATAAAGGTATGTTAAGTGACTATAAGTATTAGTAAGTGCATAAGACAAAACAAATGCTAGTTACGTAATGGAGAATAAAGTGTCAAAAGGAATCAACACTGAACTCAATATTTAAAAAATGGCAGCATATCCACGGAGTGAATTATGGAGAGTGGGGCGAAGCATCCGTCCGTCCATTCGTTCTTGCTTCCGTACGTCCATGCGTGCGTCTGTTCGTGCGTCCGCACGTTACCTGTGCGTCCGTTCCGGCGTTCATCCATGCACCCACTCCTGCGTCCGTCCACGCGTCCATCCGTCCGTGCAGCGATACGTGTGTCCGTCCATGCATCTGCCTGTGTGTCTGTTAATCCACCTATTCAACACTACAAGTACGACCATCTCGCATCTTTTCATCATATATTCCTCATATAGAAGCACCACCATCCAGCGGACATTGCAAGGACTGAACGAGAGGTGGCACACGCACACTTTCTTACGGCTTGCGCTTCGTGTCTACTTCCCACCGTTAACCACCTCGAGTTCTTGGTATTGATATGCCCGGGGAGGGGTTGAGGCTGCCACCCAGGATCCGGCGAAGGACGACTCTTGCGACGCGTCTCACGAACAAGTAGAAGATGCGTTTAGTTTACATATTTGCAGGAGAAGTACATTGCCACGAGAGCGTACAGAAGCTCCTTTCCATCACAAGGGCCCAGAGCGCACTCGAGACGAGCGGGCCAGCGAAGTCCAGAGAGAGAGCCCAGCGCACTCCCGACACGCTCCTTTTATAGCCGTCCGTGCACGCGCTAGACGCCGACTGCGTACAGCAGGCTTGCCGATGCGC